AAGCTGAGCTACCTTGCCCAGCCCTGAGTCAACATTTTCACTCCCATACTTAGGAATTCTGGCTTTAGGAAATGTTTGGTCCAAGGACTCAAAACATGAATTACGTTGTTGTCTTCACCTTTTTTCCTCTTTGTTTCTCTTGATCTTACTTTGGGACCTCTCCCCAGGTGACAGCCATGTGAACCATGGTCATCTCTCTATGACCTTTATAGCTAATCTCCTGGAGAATATCCCTACTTCTTTCCCTGTTGTTTCAGCCAACTCCCAAGTCCCATGGCCACCTCTGAGTCTGTCACTGCGGGGAGAGGTTGAGACTCCACCTGGCTCCCACACCACCTGTGCTCCCAGCAGGAAGAATTTAAACTAAGAATGGGTGAGGGAGTTCTTCGGTCACTCCAAAGAGTCCGCAATTCCGTGCTGCCATTACGATGGGCTCTTTGTGACACTTTGAGAATAAGGTGAGAGGATTCAGTCCTACTTCACCAATATTTTAGAGAAGCGGAAGTTTACACATACAAAAATACACAAGTCCAGCTTCTCACCGAGACTGTGAAAATGCCCTCTGTTCATCTACCGCTGTGTGAAAAGACACCCCAAACATAGTGGATTGAAACAGCACGATCAGGTCTTCATTCATACATTGGCAACTGGGGCCCGGCTCCTTCCACGGGCATCAGAGGAGAGGTTCTGCTGGGATCTGAAGACCTCAGGGCTGAGGCACTCGCGCACAGGTGCAGGCAGTGCTGGCTCAACTGAGAGCTCTCACAGGGCTGAGGGATGGGACCTTGTGATGTGCTGGGGCCAGATCATGCCAGCTCATGAGAGAGGTAGTTTGTGTGACATTTTTAGAACTATCCATAGCTGGGAGGATTCTAACCACAGAAATTTACAAACACTGTAAATCAGGGTCTTGGTTTTTCCCAGGAAGCTGGCTGTGCTGCGTTCTCTAGCTCACCCTTGCAAGTGCATTCAGCTCATCTTCCTGTGCGACGCTGAGGCTTCCTCAAAGCATGGCGTCTGGGCCCCCAAGTGACCAGCCCTCTTAGTCCATCTGAGCTGCTATTTAAAAAAATACCATAAACGGAGTTGCTTATGAACAACAGATATATTTTTCAGTGTTCTAGAGGTTGAGAAGTCCAAATCAAGGTGGCAGCAGACTTGGTGTCTGGTGAGGACCAGCTTTTTCATTCATAGATGGCACCTCCTCACTGGGTCCTCACCTGATGGAAGGAATGAAGGAGCTCTCTGGGGCCTCTTCTGTAAGGGCACTAATCCTA